TTGTGGCCATAGTCCAAGTGCTCAATAGCTACGTATGGCTGGTGGCTTGGATTGTGCAGGTCTACAACACTGTTTTCAAACTTTAGCTTGCATCAGAATCACCTGAAGGGCTGTTAAAACACACGTTGCTGGGCCTCAATCCAATGTTGCTCATTCAGTAGGTATGGGGTGGAGCCCAAAAATGTGCATTTCTAACAAGCTCCAAGGTAGTGTGGATGCTATTGGTCTAGGGACTGACCACACTGTGAGATCCACCAGTCTAGAGGCTGGAGCAGTAAGAAAAAGTAGAGAAGCAATTAGGAGCCAGTAATATGCCAAAGGAAGAGGTAAAAAATGAGCACTAGCTCAAAACCAGACAAGCAGTGGATCCAGATTAGAGACAGACCTTGAAATAGAGGGAGAGCCTTACAACTGGGAAAACCTCCCACACTCCTCCCTCCAGAGCAGAGTCAATAAAATAGCTTTTCCAGGTTTTAATTTTGTATGTTCCCTGGGAGGAGGACAGGGCTGGAGAATCCTGCCTAATTAGGGGCCAGCTTAGAACCTGAACAGGCTTTAAAAGCTTTTGCAAGGAAACAACTATCTCCGGGATCTGACAAACTTCGGTTTATGAAGATGCCCAAACCTCATTATTCAATACAATGATTTACAAAACAACCACAATCCTCTCAACAACAACAAATAAGTAAAAGGAAAAGAAAAAAACAACCCCAATCCAACTTTCTGATTTGACCTATAAGTATGTTCTTTCACAGTACTCTGGACTGCTAAAGTAGAAAGTGAGGCAGATAAAACAACATAAAAATTTAGGATGCTTAAAAATTGCAACAACTAGGTGGGGTACATTTTCAGGAAGATTACAAAAATCCCGAATCTATTGACCAGCCTGAGTTTATATAATTATCCAACTTGTAAACTACACCTTTTGTGAATGCCCTTTTAATACGATTAGCTTTTGGAAGGAAACTTGCCCAGAAGCAGTACATCCTAACACAGAAAGCTTTAATGGACCTTTAGAAGTGAGTCTCCCTCGTAAGTCCTCAAACTCTGTGCCATAAATTAAAATTCTAGATCTTGGATTTTTTTTCAAAAGTAAGATGCTTTCTGGTTCATTGGTGCCAGAAAACCCCTCATTATAAAGTCTGAGGATCCCTCAAGTGGCCAATATTGACATCAATGTCTATCCCCTAAAGCTATTAAGGAGAAATTGGTAAAAGACACCTTTTTAAGACGTGCTTTTCTGGTGTCACTCTTCTGAGAACATTTCCCAACATCTGGTTGCAATCAAGCACTAAGAAATAGAAACTCAGTTTTGGAGGGCAATGAAACAGGGATGTTCAGAACTTTTCATTTTACAATGAAAACCCTAGCTGAATGTCCAATTCATGGTCTAAAAATCAAATATACTCCCATTAAAATCTGCATTCGATAAATAAATAAGTTAAACTTAGAAAAAGATAAAAATGTTTTTAAAAAAGTTGAGAAAGAACATTAATTCTAGCCTTCAAGGTTAGAAAAGTTTGCCATAGGAAACACATAAAGACCAACCAATTCAAGTATCTCCTCCCACTCCAAGCAGAAACATTTATCCAGCAAAGGTAGATGCATGCATCTTTCACTGCCTCATCCAGAGCTAAATAGAAACCTACAATCTTCCTGGAGCAGATTAAGAAAGAGTGACCTGGGACCCAATCCATATAGAAGGGAAAAGCAGGACACAGTTTACTTCCTACAAAGACAGAAACTATAAAAATTATCCTAGAGAGCCAGAAAAACACTAATTTGAGTACTCAAAGAGGGAGTAGTTCCAATAGCTCTAATAAGGAGCATTTTGTAAGGTTTCCAACAAGCTATTATAGGTTTAGAAACCATATCTGGTAACCCAGTTAACTTTGGAAGGCATAATTACAGGACGGTAGAGTAGTCCCTTATGTCAGAGAAGCCTATGAAGAGCTGCACGGTTTGAACCGAGCAGGTTTGCAGCCCATTTACATCGTTGGTCCATTAGGAAACTGGAAAAACAATTCATTTAATACAGTTGAAAGCATATATAAACAATCTTGCAGTGATTTAATTACATATGGATTTGGAATTATATGGAAGATTAATTCAGAGCTCTCCCTCTCTGGCCTATAGGTTGTACCTCAACATACACATGAATTTTCAAAAATAAGTGCTTTATTTGAACTCACAGCTTTACTTAAGAGGATAATGAAATCCCATTTGTTTTATCACTCAAAACATTTCCACAGGGCGCACTGACATTTTTTTGAAATTTAATTTTGCTACAAAAGGAAATGTTTAAGTATCTGTAAAAGTATAAAATGGGCCTCATTAATGAATCTGAAGAGTACCACATTGTACATTGTTTTCTAGAGTTGCAAAAAAGAGAAGTTCATCTTTAAATATATTTTGGAGGAGAAAGTCTGCATTCTGCACTAAATTTTCAGGACGCAATAGGTTTAAATTCTTCTCAGTTCTATCGAAGAATGTTTTTAAATATCTTAAAAATGAAAAAAAATCTAATTATAAATTCAGATTCACTTAAATATCCCCAAAATAGCATGTGAAAGAAAATGAGTTTGTTACTTGAGGGCACCACCATTCTGAATTGGATCAAGATGGTTACCAAAATGCAGTTGATTGTATTATATAAAAACGTCTTTCATTGTTACTCCTATATGGAAACATTTAATAAATGGAGAAAGAAGGTCACCATTTCCTCCCAAACTTTAAATTCAGATGAAGGCAGAGAAGATACAAAACAATTACTTGAGTATTTCTAACTCCTCACTTTAATCTGAGGTTTGTAAATATCTTTGTGCTGTTGTTGTTGTTAGTTAGCTATTTCGACTCATAGCGACCCCATGTGACAGAGTAGAACTGCCCCATGCAGTTTTCTAGGCTGTAATCTTTACTGGAGCAGATCGCCGGGTCTTTCTCCTGCAAAGCCACTGGGTGGGTTCTAATTATCCTTGCGCCACCAGGGCTCCTAAATATCTTTGTGTAAGACTGTGAAACCAATCCCACTCCACCCTCAACAAACAAGTTGCCTCGGAGTGGATCCTGACTCATGGCGACCCCATGTGTTTCAGAGTAGACAGAAGCGTTCAAAATGAAACCTTCTAAAAAAGTGTAAAGCTGAAAGAAGAACTACATGTTAAATACTCGCTCTATTCCATAAGCAAAATGTTCCCCTTGCTACTACTTAATGTAGTCACTTGCGTTCAACGCAGTGTTAATTTTTCCTATAATTATTATTTCCATAACAAACCATATCAATACAAGACAGTTGGGTCTCAATGCAACCAGGCAAGGAGCACCAAATGCTCAACCTTAAGGGTGAGGTAGAGAAATGTAATTGGGATTGGTACAGCCACATTACCTGGTTAATTTTCTTAAATCACAGATAAGTAGAGATCCGAAATAACTATCAGGACCGTATGGGTCAATAAAACTTATCCCTCAACTCTATATTCCGTTGTGCCCGACTTAAAAGTACATCTTCACTTAACCGCCCTTTAGGTTCTCAATTTTTATTTTAACACCCTAACGGTGTTTACTTTTATTATCTTCAATATTTAAACGCACAGGTTTTTTTTAGTATTGTCTGGGGGCAAAAATTTGCAGTTTTCTAAGAGTCACATCCCCGAATGGGACTGCTGACGTAGTGCCGGAAATGGCTTCTTTTTCGTAAGTAAAGGTCGGAGTAAACTTTATTCAAGGGTTACAATAACACCAAATGCCTTCACCCCCACCGAAGGCTGGGGCCTAGAAGAAATGGTCGTTCACCATCAAAAAGGGGTCCCTGCAACACTCTACTCTACAAGCAACGCCTCACTTTCCATAAACGAGCACACGGTCTATTATTCTCTGGGCGGCTCCAAAGGATTCTGGGAGTTGGGGGGGTACCAAGGGGTAAAAATGAGATGTTGGCACAGGGTGAGCGAAGGATAATCAGCCAGTTGCTGAGCGACTTCTCAAATCTTCCGACCGCCTCCATCACTTCTACTGGGTAGGCCCTCGCTCCTTCCCCTCCTTCCACACCCCTCCCTTGCAGTGCCCTATCAGCCAATCACTGGGCTGATGCTTGCCAATCTGGGCCAATCCTGAGCATGCTTACTTTGAGCGGGAAAAGCTCAGAAGCTGCGGGAGAGCGAGGTCTGCTAACCGCCCGTTCTTGGTCTTGTCTCGGGTGGGTAACAGGCGTAGAGGCAGTTACCCATTGGCTGGGCAGCGGGCCAATGAGGGGGTGCGAAGCAGGGGGCGGGCCTCACCGGGGAGGGTGGGTTGGGGCGGGGCACGGTAGGGCGGGCTAGTGCCGGGTCGCGTGCCGGGTCGCGAGCCCTGGGCTAGGCAATGTAACGGCCTCTCCCCCCGCCCCTCCTTCGCTGCTCCGGCCCCCCCACCCACAGACCGGCTCCAGGCAGCGCCCGGGGCGGCGGCGGCGGCAGCGGTGGGGTGCGGGCTGAGGGAGCCGGGCCTCGACGCCCCCCCTCATCCCCTTACCCCAGGAGCTGTACCTAGTCCAGAAGGGGCGGGGGCCCCATGGAGGTGAGAGGCGGAGACGCCCTGGCCGCCCGTCACCCCCTCACCCTCTCAGGCCTGAGGGAGGGACTTGAGGTAACGGGTGGGGACGGTCAGGGCCCCGGTAGCGGCCAGGTTTGGAGGATGGCGACGGTGAGGAGAGGCTGAGGAGCGGGCGCGCCCCTCGACGCGGCTCTGTGAGAAGGCCGGGGTCGGCGGGAGAGGGCAGGTCGCCCTTGAGGAGCCCCGACGGGGCGGCCGGGCCGCGCCTCCGACGGGGCTGCC